TTAAGGTATAGATCAGGTATAAAGTTAGTTACAAATTTGAATATTTCAGCATATACTGGTAGTCGCTTTTACTAATATTAAGTTATGTATATTTTTTCAAATAAAGTTTTTGATTGAAGCAGTGCTATCCAAAAGAGATAGAAAATAATTTTAAAATGTAAAATACAATATAATTTAAAATCTGTCTAATTTGCTTATTGTAAGTTTTTGAACTAGGAATATTTGGTCTTGATTCTAAATCGTTTGGTATTAAACTTGACCGCTCGAACTACATAGCCAATAGCAAGATATTATTTTTTAAATCCATTTACATCAATGCTGCGATTTATGTTTAGGTTTGAAATTTCTACTCTAAATTGAATTGAATTTCCGACCACAAGTTTCTTGGWGAAAGATACATTTWAATGTGTTCTGCATCTTTATTGTCGACATATTTAGGTATMTAAATTATGTTGCAGRTTACATGGTTTTCTAACAGGGTTTCACTGTAAATTTAAAATCACGCACTGACCAGAAAAATTAAATGGGACGAATATGAAATTTAAATTGATTTAGAGAATAAATCGATTAGAGTATTGGAATTTCAAGCACTTTTATTTATAACCGAACAAAACCGTTTCTTAAACGTAACTTGGTTTTTCCGAATCCCTACTTAAAATGCAGGCGAACCTAAAGTTTTCAAGAACAATCTGACTAATTAACTACCCCAGCCTTAAAATCCTGAAAACAACAAACTCTCGTCAACACAAAGAAATATGAAGTACGCTACGACAAATTAAAGACGAATAAAAGGCAATTTGATATTCGGATGGAAAGACGTTTTATGGAAATTGGCAACATTTCTCTCAGTTGTCTGAAATTTGCTGGAGAAAAAGATTGCCGGAAATCGTTTCTCCAGTTGCCGCGAATAATTATGGAAAGTAGCTCATTTTAATCTTAAAACTGTACGAGTGCTAACGAATGAAACGTTCCTTGGAAAAGCTGTGGTATACCAAGTTTGCTTTATGTTTGAACATATAAAAATGTGATAGAAGTGAAGAATGACTAAGGAACTTGATATTAAGATCTCGGATTTCGTTCAAATTTCACCTGTATACGTTTATATAAACCGGAATTCAATTTCAAGACGGCAGCTTTGAGTAAGTTAAACTATTAAATAACTTCAAAATTCTGCAAGATAAATAAATCATACTTAAACTATAAAAAAATGCTGTTTTCCAAAAAAAAATCCGAACCTTTAAATAAACTTGTTCGGATCCATGCGTCTTCACTGCAATAATATGTTCATTGGTATAAAAAAATCAACGTGATTTATTGGGTTTTGTCATCGAAGAATAAAACGCTCCCACTTCTTTTAAACTTTTATTAAAAATATACCTACCGGGTGATCTGAATGATTCTTGACCCATATTTTATAAATAATTGTCTCTCTTGTTCATAAAAGCTGTGGATAAATAACAATTTTCTAAAATTGCTCAAATATCTAAGCAGAAATAATTTGTTGCTATAGAACGTAGCTTCCGTGCTTAATCCATGAAATCATTAATTCTTGGAGCGCATATTGGCATACCTAGTTATTCAAAATTTGCGTCATCTTCCTTAAAATAATAGAAAAATACTGGTGGGTCATCCTCCTTGACTAGTTTTAGCAATGAAAAATTAAATATAAAAAAAATCTTTCTGGAGGTGTTTTTTAGGAATGTTTGAGTATCTAAAAAATAACGAAAAAATTTGGAAGACGGTGATACTTGCAATCAACTCAAAAATGTGTGGGAATTATGTTTTCGATTCTCAGCCTCAAAAAACTCACAGCTAATGGAGACAGGACAGACATTAGCTTTTGGAATTTTTTTTACCACGCAGACTAGACAGGAATAGCTGTCGATGCCGGATATCCCTGCAATTTTTGTGCTGTATACAGTTAAAACCCTGAAGTTCGTCCCTCAAACTGGGTCAGAAAAAATATTTTTTCCCTTGAAACAAAAGTCGAAAATGCCTCTTCGGAGTCATCGAATACTTTTGACGCTTTGCGAGATATTCTCAGCTGTTTAAACTGTACTGATTTATGCTTATATTGTGAACCCTAATGGGCGAAACCTAGCTTTGAAGAAAATTTACCGAGAACAAGTTTAAAATGTCGCAAGAGCCTAGAATTTGAAATTGCATCTATCTCTTTGGAGATTAACAATACCTGATAAATCCTAATTGGCAAAAAGAAACTCTTGGGAGACACTATGGAAAACTATTTCAATGATTAGTAAGTAGGCAAAAAAAACTAAACTGAGGAAATAAGACAGAGACATGAACGCCAGAGAAAAATATGAAGAATGCTGCGAAGAAATAAGCTTGAAATCAAAGATACCATATGAATTAATAAAATCACGGCAGAACAGTGGGAAACACACTTTAGGAATCTTTACAAGGAAAAGGACGAAGCGGAGCAGACAAAAATCGATCATGAAGAAAACAACGACATAGAATTAACAAATGACACGATTAAAAACACCTTAAAATTACTTAAAAATATAAAAAGCGCCGGAGCAGACGAGATCACTAACGAGATGCTTAGATACGGACGAAAAAAATTACAAAATGAAATACTGACCTTATTTAAAAATATCGTAGAAGAACAGAAAATACCAAACGAATATAACGGAACAATACCCATTTTTAAAAAGGAACAGAAAGCACTGCCAGAAAACTAACGTGGAATAACCCTAGTTGATAGCCCTCTTAAAGCATTAACACAGACTATTCTGGGGGAATTCATCAAAACCATAAGAATAAGAGAAGAACAACAAGGCTTCTGAAAAAACAGATAATAGCACAGCACAATAAATGCAATATTCAAAGTCAAGCAAATGTCTAACAAATTCCTTGGATTCAATAAACCCGCGTACATGTCTTTCATCGATATGACCAAATTAGCTCATTCATGTTTAATGTGATAATGGATAATATAATAGAAAATCTTCCCAGAACGATGAGAAGAAGAAGAAGAAGATTCTGAAACAAACATGTAGAAAGAATGGAGAACAGCTGGATCTCATCATCCGGGGAGGAAGTATTGGGAATGAAACGCATACTAATATGTATCCACATTAGAAATAAAGAAGAAGAAGAGGAAAATAAGTAATTTCAAAGTTTGCTAAATCCTACGTAAATTTTTGCATCACAAAAATTGCGCTTCTATAATTTTCTTTCAAAATGTATACATGTTCAAATAAATAACCTGATATAGTTTAAATTTTACTGTTACCTACGTGGTTAGCTTATGAATTGTGCTCCTCAAAACTTACTGTTAAATAACAATAATAACAGCTCCTTAAAATTAAAACTTGTGAAAAAAATGTGATTTTTATATTCCAGACATGCAAGTAATTTGAAAATTTTTTTACAAACTTCTTGTTGGGTATTTCGCCTCTAAAATTTTTATCTTTAAAAAAGACAGAATTTCCTCACGTCTTTTATTACAGATTGATAAATAGTGTTCCTATTTCGCAATAAGAACGAATTATTTATCAAAAAGTAAT